GGGACCTTCTCTGGACTTGAATTAGTTGTCTACCATGTTATTTGGTGATAGCGGGACTGTGCCTGTTTACTAGTTGACCTTGGGCTTGTCAGCCTCAGCAGCCAACAACTGCCTGAGTGAGGAGAAGCTTCCATCTTCAGTGGGCTGGGAGCAGGAGGCAGAGCTGAAGCCCAAAGTTGAAGGGCTTTCACCCAGCCCCTAGAGCCTGGCACTTTGAACTCAGACTTCTAGCCTCCAAAAATAAAAAGAATAAATTCCTATTTGTTTAAGCCATCCAATTGTGATATATTCCTGTCAAAGGGGCACTAGGAAACCAAAACATCAGGATTCCAAGGCTCCAAAGACCACCGGTGGGACCAGCCTGACGACCAAGCAGCAGTTCACCTTACCCAGGAGAGAACACCTGCCTGAGCACAGTGTTCTCATCAGAACGCTCTCAAAGGCATCACATGACAACAGGAGCTCCAAAGACCCAACAGGACGCTCAGGGGGCAGGGAGCTCATGTGAGCGGGGGAGGAACGGTTCTGCAGAGGAGCAAGAAGGGCCACACGATACCCAGAGTGTGATCTGTGTCACTGGTCTGCTACGTGTGGCAGCTGCTGCACTGGGATCTGCCCTAGTGTATATTCTCAACAACAGAACAAAACAGCCCAGGCGGGAAGGACGAGGGTGCGGCCGCAGGTGGGAGGCGGGAAGGACGAGGGTGCAGCCGGGGGTGGGAGGCGGGAAGGACGAGGGTGCAGCCGGGGGTGGGAGGCGGGAAGGACGAGGGTGCAGCCGTGGGTGGGAGGCGTGAAGGACGAGGGTGCGGCCGCGGGCGGGAGGGTATGCTCTCTGCCTGCTCCAGAGACACTGGCCCGTGTGAGATGATGAAAGTGACGGGCCCTGTCCACAGACGTGCACGTGCAATGCTGTGACTACCCCTGCAGGCTCATGGACCCCAGACCACCACGCTTCAGGAAGCCCCTGGTCTTGCAGCAAGCAGAGGCCTGGAGGACCCAGTCGGGGGAGCTGCTGTGGAGCCCGGCCGGTGCTGGGGGGTGTTGGAGGCGTGGCTGGGAGGGGGCTCGTGTGGCGGTTCAGAGCTCAACCCTGGCACGGAGAACCTGTGTAAGAGTCCTGCCTCAGACACCAATCAGCTGCATGACCGTGGGCAAGCAACCAGAGGGGGTTAAGCAAGGCCCTGGAGCCAGATGCTTGTGGGCTCAGCACCCCACGATGGAGGCGGAGGCAGAGCCGGCCCTGAAGCCCCACAGACAGGGGACAGGGAGGCGGTGCCGCTCTGTGTTAATCCAGCCAAGCATCAGCACAGGGTGGGCCTCACTGTGCCCTTGGCTAGAGTCGGGGGGGCTGGCAAGGCTGCCGTTTCCAGGGGATGGTCCCGTCCTATCTCACGAGCAGCAGGGACCACTGGTCCCCCTCCTTCCTCGTGAGGGGAGGGGTTCAGAGCCTGTGTTGACAGTAACCCATGGCCGTCCCCCAACAGCTGGGCTGGAGGGACTCTTGACAGGTGGGTGTGGATGGTATCATAGGGACAGTGGACAAGCTATGAGGAAGAAGCTATGAGTTAAGACGTCTGTGGAAGCTGGGTTGAGGGGCGAGGGCAAGAGGATGGGGGGCTGACGAAGCCATTTCTGGGCCCCCAGCGAGCCGCCCAGCTGTCTCTGTTCTGCCTGGGAGACACCCCCACAGGGCTCAGGGAGGGTGGCTCACGTTCTGTTGTGGTGCCACCTGATGTCCCGTTCAGAGCCTCGGGTCCCCCCACCCCGGTGCCTGCAGGGCTGAAATTCAGCTGCATACATTAAGGCCGGTGGCAAGCCAAGGCCTACGGGTTCCGAGGCCGGGTAACAGAACTACCCGCGTCCCAGCTCCCACGTGTCTGAGAAGCTCCACGGGGTTTGCAGGGCTGGCCCCTCAGAAGCTGACTGCCAGGCCTTCCCTCTGAGGCTCCGCTGGGCAGCTGCGAGAAGGTCAGCAGGGTGCCGCTCCCAGGGCCCCAGCAAGAACGACCTGACGACTCACCACACACACCTCCACTCCGGGGCCACCTCAGCAGGTTCACCGGGCGGGGTTCTGGAGCTACCGAAATGGTGTGCTGACAACCCTGCTTTGTAAAACCCAAAGAGGGGCATGCTGTTCGTTGTGAAGGGATCTGAACTCTGAGCCCTGAGCACGCAGGCTACAGCTCTTTTCACAAGACGTGGAAAGACTTGGGCAGCTTGGTGTGGGAGCCTGGTCAGGCTGGCAGCTTCCCGCACCACACCCACAAATGTTCACTGTCCCTGGCCAGGAGTGGCTATGTGGCTCGGTCAAAGGCCCCCTGACACCCACAGTCCCACTTTGCTCAGCTGCCTGGGCCACCGTGAGAGGCACAGGGTCAGCGGCATCCACTCCTCTTCCCCCTTCTTCCAGGGTAAAGGTGATGCAGCCCTGCTGACCGGCTTGGGGCACAGGAAAGACATAACGGAAGAGGAAGTGGAGAACAGCCACCCCAACAGTGGTGGAAGCGGGTGGATGCAGCGAGAGGAGGGCCGGCTGAGCCCCATCAGTAACCTCACTCCCTCCTGACCCCCCCACTCCAAAGCAACAAAACGCTGTGTCAGCAGCTCCCAAGAAACAATGGGGCTCCACTGGGTACAGGGATGCCACAGGCCTCGAGATGGCGCCAAGGCAAGACAAATGTCCACAATGTCCCCTCTTCCTAAATCCTGCGAGGGGACAGGCGAGGCTCCTAGGCCCCAGATGAGGAGGCCGCGGGGTGAGGGAAGACCAGTACCTCTCCCCTGACCCATCGGAGGAACCCCGAGTCCCTTTCTCCAGAGGACGGCTGGGACTGTCCCAGCTGAACACATGCTCAGGGCATGAGACGCTGCCCAGGACGAGGCAGAGGCAGGGCCAGGTGGCAGCAGGCACCAAGTCTGTCACCGAGCGTACGTTTCCACCAGGCCGCCAGCCCTGCTGCGAGGGAGCTGTGTTTGTTGGAAACGCCCCCTGTGAGCACAGCAGTGGTGAGCTCTGGGTGGCTGCCAGGGCACCCCTTGTGCACCCGGGGCTCTTGGCTCCCCAGGGGTACAAAGGAGGAAGGGTGACTTCAGCTAAAAAAGGCAGCAGGTGCCACACGGCCCCTGATACGGGTGGTGAACGTCTCCTGAGAGGCAGGCCAGGGGGAGAAAGCGACTGAAAGATGGGATGGCTCACAAAAGGAGCCAAGAACAGCAGAGTGGCCGACTGCCCCAGCCCTAGCCCCGGACACAGCTTCCAGGAGACCTTCCAGCCCCAGGCCAGATGCTGAGCCTCTTCCAGGAGCTGGGAGCCGGGGCAGTGGGGTGAGGGGGAAACGGGGAAGGGAGCTTTCCCCTGCAACTCAGCCACCTCTCACAGGCCAGTCGCCAGACACTCCCACACCGACGCTACTCCTTAAGTCTAAGTAGGAAGAGTAACAACAGCAGGAAACCAAGGGTCAGGGAAGGGGCCACCCATCAGGCGTGGCTGGGCTCACTGTGGACAAGGTGACAAGTGGGGACGTGATGTCAAGCCTGCTCTGACCCAGCATAGCAACTGGGGAACTGTCAATCCTCGCCACGACCCTCAGGGAAGCAGCTCCGGCAGGGGCCCCTGCTGCAAGTCCCACCGGTGCCGTCATTTCCCACACCTTCAGCTGAGCCGGGGTCAGCCCCCTAGGGGCAGGAAGCCAGCAGGAGCCCTCCCTCTCTCTCGGCTACCCAACTCCAGTGGGTCCTAGGCGCTATGGGGGGTGGGGTGTACTCACTGTGCGCCTCCACTGGGTCCATCTGCGTGCCGTATGGGACCAGGGGGCAGAGTGTACTCACTGTGCGCCTCCACCAGGTCCATCTGCGTGCTGTATGGGACCAGGGGGTCGGGCAGCTCCGAGAAGAAACTTTTCATGGCTCCAGCCACGGTGTTCACGGTGAAGTCCTTCTCAGCCAAGTCCAGGCTGTGGTCTGAAAGGAAGCAGGAGCGTGAGCTGGTCGCCGCTGGGTAGTCCGAGAACCCTCGAGGGCCCCTGGGTGCTGCCCGGGCTGGCCTGGTGCCTCGGCAGGGACCAGGGACTCCCACAGACCAGAGAGGAAGCGGGAGCCCTGGATGCTGCTAAAAAGAGAGTTCCGAGAATCTGGGACATGCCCCAATACCCATGCCTTCTGTCAAAGCCTCGGAGCCGGCCGTCCATTGCCCTCAGGGCAAGGCAGGCGCACCTCCCCTCACCCCCCTCGCCGGACTTTGATGTGGGAGCTACTGCTTCCTACTCAGGGACAAAAAGGTTGCCTCACTTTCTCCAGGGGTTACACCACAGACACCCACACGTTGCTTTCACCTTCCTCCTCACCACTGATGGCGATGGGCGAGCAGAGCCCTCCCCCATCTGCCTCCCCCAGCCCCGGTCTCACACTGTCTTTTACACGCTGGATCATGCATGCACCTGACTGTTTATTAAGGACCATCAGCCCGTGTCCACTGTGTGGGCTACACGGTGTTACGGACTCCTGCCAGCCCAGGCGCGTGGCTCGCCTCTCACTCGACCTCACGCTTCCTCCTACCACACAAGGTTAACTTAAGGGTCCCCGCCTCTCTCGTGTGGTGCGCCACCCCCACCTCGACTGCCGGCCAGCGGCAGCAGCAGCGCCTAACTCTGGGCACAGCGGGAGCCTCCGGTGCTGTGGCTGCCCTGGTCTGCCGGCTGTCCTGCAGGCCCTCAGGGTGGCCACTACCGAATGGCTCTATCTCCTTAGGCCTGGACCGAGGCGGTCCCTGCCTCAGGGCCCCGACACCTTGGAGCTTCTACCACTCCGGCCTCTCGTGGGTGCAGCTGCTCGGCCCCCATGCGGGCGATCCAGCCGGGTCAGAGTGCGGTGGGTCTGGCTTGAGAGAAAAGAGTCCTCGCCAGGAGCCAGCCTGCCTCGCTGGGGCTCAGGCTTTGGGGTGTGAGGCCCCCCCCATTGCAGGATGAGCGGCGGTTCGCTCTGCTTGTGCCAGGGTCTCAGAAAGACGGGAGTCACGGCTAGGGCCTAGTACGACTGTCCTCTCAACCCAACACCGAGACCACGTACCATTGACTCGCCCCGCGTGGCCCACTCCTAGGGAACCAGGGTCCCTGGGCTGTGAGAGGCATGTGTGCAAGGGTGACTAGGAACACTGCTTGTACCTGGTGACGTGGGGACCAGCCTGGCAGAGGCTGGCGTGTCTGTTCATTGGCAAGGCCCGCTCCCTTTCCTCTGTGGCACAGTGATCAGGGAGGTGAAGCTCACTGGTGCCCGCCCACCCGCCTGCTTATGCTCTCTGTCCGTGGGGGACAAAGGACTCCCAGATAGGGGACGCCCAGCCCCAGCCCGATGTGTTTCTATGTCTGCACCCTTTCTGGCTGTAATGAATGGGCCACTGCAACAAGAGCCGTTTCTGGGAGTTCTGTGCGTCACCCCAGGAATTCTAGAACCCACGGGGCTGCGAGGGCCGGCCGAGGGGATGGGGTCCTACTGGGCCGGGGCTGGCAGGGTCACAGAGAGGGCGCCATGCGGGCCGCAGGTGTCGGGAAGATGAAGTGGAGAGTGGGGATACGAGGGAAGAAATGAGCCTCGTGTCAGCTATCAGCCACAGTCCCCGAGCCAGCACCTCGGCCTCGGGTCTGTGGCTCGCCCTGTACTCCCCTCCCCGCGGCCAGTCCCCGTCTGCTGTGCTGGGGCCTCTGCTGGGACTGGCTCCGGCTCCGGCTCCGGCTCCCAGGTCTGAAGGCCTTACCTTGGTCAAACTGCCTCTGTAGACTCTCCATCTCTGACTTGTTCCCGCTGACCCGGTAGATACCTTCGGTGCTCAGGCCTGGGGAGAAACGGCAGCCTCTTAGTGTGGCACTGCAGGGCGGGCGCAGCGTGAGGGGTGGGACGGCAGGGAAGCCCCCCAGAGCCAGACCAGGGCTCAGCGCCTTTCCCCTGGACTCTTCAGATGCTTCCCCGCATTCCTATCCTCACTTTGACAAATCTGAAATACTTGGTTCTCATTTTCATCAAAGTGAAAGTAACGATATAGAACAGAAGTCCATGAGCTCAGGGTGACTCCTGACCACACTTTGTCGTCGGCTCTTCAATTTCTCAATTTTTAATAACAGAGTTTTTAAAGAACATAATACTACGTTCTCACCTGCCCGATCCACTTAGGGTGTGTCCTGACCTTGTAACTAGACGTCACTCTGCTACACGAAGGTTTGAAAGACATCCCGAGATACAGTAACTTTAAAAAGAAAGCCCTGCTGTTAACCAGTTGGGCGACGTCAAGTTTCACTATTAGAAGTAACCTACAATTATCTTCTTGGTTTACTTTATATATTTTTAACGTTTTTATGTATTCTGGATACCAAGTCTAACAGATTCTTGGCAGTCTGTTTCTGACTTTGTGGTTTTCCTCAGTTCTGTTCTCTGTTCATGTCCCTAGAGGTGTGGCTCCTCCCCGGTGTCTGAGAGAGGCCTCGGCGTTCCCCGGGCCGTCCGTTTTGACGGCTGACTGCACCCACACTCACACTCCCTCATTAGCTGCCCTGCCCCCTGCGCACTGCGGCCTCTGAAGCCGGGAAGGTGGACCTGCAGGTCCTCTGGACGGCCATTCGCTTCACCATCTCCTTTGTTGCAGGGCTCAAGGCAGCTTTCCCTGTTCCCAGACCAGAGTTTCTTCTCTTCTAGTTCAATTTTTTTTCTCACTTTCAATTCTCATCATTCTGGAGCTTATTCTGGTGTATGGTGTGCGGTAAGGCAAACAGCTAAAATGGACGGTCAAGCACCTGAACGTGCCGGCAGTTCCCCAGGGAAGCACACTCCCTCTCGGGGAAGGAAAGCCCACTGTCGCATTAGCGGTGTCACAGGTCTGGAGGACAGGGAGGAGTCCTGGTGGCGTGGTGGTTAAGTGCCTGGCTGTGCACTGAAAGCCTCGCTGTTCAAACCCACTAGCCGCTCCATGGGAGAAAGATGAGGCAGTCAGCTTCCATAAAGATCGACAGCCTTGGAAACCCTGTGGTGCAGTTCCACTCTGTCCTCTAGGGGCGCTGTGAGCCAGATTCCACTCCATGACACTGGTGTGGTTTGGGCTTTGCTCTCATAAAGACTGACAGCCTTGGAAACCCTGCAGGGCAGTTTCACTCTGTCCTACAGGGTCATGTGAGTTGGAATCGAACTCAACAACAGAGGAAGGGGAAATCACAGTGCAAACCAAGACGGGGTCTAATGGCCAAAGCACCCTGGTCACCTCTGAAGCCTGTGGTTCCAAGCAACTCTTGAAACCAATGAAGGGGCACCAGGGTGGCATCAGTTAGGAGAGAGGCCTGAGAGCCGGCGTCTGGGGGTCAGTGCAGCTGGAGAGAGACGCCTGTGAGGCTGGACAAGAGCAGTCTGCCCGCCTGCTCTGGGGTCCAGACTGGTGGGGAGTGGACTCTGAAGACCCCCGAAGCAAAAGGCATCAATTCCCAGCTCAACAGTGTACACTGCACACAGGATTTCCACCCCAGAGAAAACGGAGTTAATGGCCGGCCCAGAGGGCCCTTCCCGTGTGACGCCGGGCTCCAACAGAACTGCCATCACAGGGCAGGGGCCAGGGTGACACCCTTCCGAGCTGAGCTCACTGGGAACTTCCTGAGGGATCACCGCATCGCGCGCTTGGAGGCCCAGTCCCACATCCGCACACCTACTCATCAGTCAGTGAGTGACGGTGTTACGTCATCTTTAAAGACCTGCCAGTCAGGAGCAAGGAGCTCTGGTGGCGTAGTGAATAAGGCATTTGGTTGCTAACCAGGTCAGCGGTCCAAACCCAGCAGCCACTCCCCAGAAGGAAGATGGGATGATCTACTTCTGTAAAGAGTTACAGCCTTGGAAACCCAGCGGGTGCTGCTATGAGTTGCAACTGACTTGATGGCAGTGAGCCGACCCCCCAAGTCAGGAGCTACCGTATGGTCTACAAAACAGAAAAGCAAAGCAAGGTCCAGAAAGGCCAAGTCCCTGCCCCGTCTCCCAGCTGACAGACATCAGTGGCCTGTCTGAGCACAGGGTCTCTCGTCTGGCCTCATGCTGTTCTAGACGAGGGGCCGGTCCCGGCTCTGCTGCCTGACACTCAGCCACAAGCTGAATCCGGACCACAGTCTTTCCCCGGCAAGCAATGTTGCCTGTGCGGGAGCCCGCTGGCCCTGGGCATTCTGGGTCGCTTCAGAGATGACACGGTGTAAGGGGTGGGCCCTGCTCTCCATCCCTCATTAGCAATTCTGCAATGGCCTCTCTCCTCAGTGACCTGTTCTCAGTGATATGAAAACTCTCTCCCAAGCTTGTATTTCAGGTAGCAAGAACCACAGGCTTCTGCTCTGTGTATGAAAGGGTGTCCAGAAGTCACTACATTTGGGCAAGCGCTGGGCATGTGAACAGGCTTAACGCTTAACTTTCTCGGGACAAAGCCACTCTTTCCTAACGCCTTTCCCTGAATGCCCGCCCTCTGGCTGAGCTCTGGCCATGGAAGCCTCAGGCCATCACCATCTGACCCCGAACCCGGGCACAGACAGAAGGGTTCCCTGGGCACGGTCCCGGATGGAGGGGCTCTGGTGGTGCAGTGGTTAAGCCCTTGGCTGCTACCAGGGCCGGCAGCTCGGACCCACCCGCTCCTCTGATGAGGCGGTCAGCTTCTGCAGCGACTCCCGCTCCGGACACCTCATGGTGCAGTTCCCACTCTGCCCTGCAGGGGCGCTGTGCGCTGGGATCGTCTGGACGTCAACACGCCTCCCGATGGGCGCCTATCCCAGCCTCAGAGGGCAGAAACCAAACAGAAAGCGAGCTCTCTGGGAGCGATGGTGGGGTGGGGCTGCGGGAAGCGCATCAGACGGGCGATCCAAAGACGGCGGCGTGTGAAAGCACGAGGCGGCTCGAGAGCTTCCGTTAGCCACCAACCCCGCATTTCCTGTCACCTGGACTCACGGCTTTCTTCCCACGACCCCGTTTTAGAACAGCGATTCTGCCGCTGCCCTGCACAACACTGTGGCTTCTTTTAGGAAACGGCTCATTTGCTCACCCCGCATAGCTCATCCCAGACGCTAATTAGACATCGATTCAAAGACAAAACCAGACGGCAAGCTCGCCAAGTGGAGCGAGCATGTGGGTGTGCAGGTAGGAACCAGGGCACCGGCTCAGCCCAGGCAGGTGGCCACGGAGCCCAGGCCGAGCAGGCTGGGTGGGGTGGGGTCACGGAGCCGCCCACCAGGGGGGCCCCGCCCAAGCCTGCCGGCAGAAAGCAGACTTCTTACCAGCAGTGGCCCCGACCCAGCACGACTGCTCCGTGTCTCCAGCCACCAGCTGCGCGAGCTACAACTTCCCTATCAGAAGCACCCTAAGGACCAGACACCTCCAAAGACCATGCCAAGGCGCGGCGGCCTCTACTCTTGCTTGCTTGCCTTTGTAAAACAAACAAACCTGCTGGTTTCCCATCTCTGTGTTTAAAGTAATCTCTGTGAATAGAATGAGAAAAGCTCTGAATGCTGCCTTCAAACATCCTAACAACTGCCACAGGGGACACTCTTGCTCTCCACGGCTCAGCTCTCGGGACAGAGCTGCGACTAAGAATGGAAATTACAGCACAGCAGATACCCTCGCAATACAGGAAGTCCCTGGATCACAAACGATTTCCAGTCCCAAGTCTGTCTTTACGTTGGATTTGTACAGGAGCTGGCACAGTTAGGTACAGTTCGTGTCACACACTCAGTCAAACGTTTGTCTTAGTATATAGTGTACCCTTTCAGGGATAAAGCACATTAAAGAAACACTTGCAGACGCTAACTTATCTTACTACTGTAGCAGGAGAAGGAATGTTTCAATCTGTGTTGCAAAGCAGTGCCTGTCTGTTGCACGAACCACTGTAGTACCTTGAGTTTTGAATGGAACAGGCTTTATTGGGTAGGTTCGTAACTATGTCAGTGAGCCGTTCCTAACTCAGGGAGGCCTGCATATGAAATCACAATTCCTAGCTACAAGTGACATTTGCTGGAACAGGCTAGAGCTTCTGAACTTCCTCTTTACCAGGAAGTCATCTCTCTGGGATGCTGTCTAAAAAGATTAGTAGTTGGTCCAGGAAGGTAGCTAGTAACATTGATACAGCGTGTCAACTGTTTACAATGTGTGAAGCCACAATGCTAAATGACTACCATGTATCTTTACGTAACTTTTCACAATAGCCCCTAAGAGAGGTTACGACTAACCCCATTTTGCAGATGGTAATGCGGAGGCCAAGAGGTAGACTGATGTGCACAAGGCCCGACAGCTAGGAGCTGCACAGAGAGGGTTAGGCCCTGTCTGACTCCAGAGCCTGCGTCCTTTTTGGCTGTTCTTCGGTGCCATCGAGTCAGTTCCAACCCACGGCGACCTCACGACAACAGCACAGTAACGTTGCCGGTTCTGCCCCATCCTCACGATCGTCGCTACGTTACAGCCACTGTGTCAATCCATCTTGTTGAGGGTCTTCCTTTCTTCTCTGACCCTCACGCATGACATCCTTCTCCAGTGTCCAGTCCCTCCCGAGAACACGACCACAGGAGGCCAGCTGGAACCCACTCCTCACCACTGAGCAGAACCCCCTGCAGGGCTTGTGATCCGGCTCCAGCCCCGGAGTCTCGGATTCAGCCTGGCTAGTGTGGGGCCCCAAACCAGTTTAAGCCCGTTTGCAGGCGATGCTGATGCTGGTCAGGGCCCGACGCTTTGGGAACTGCTGTTCTAGAGACCAGGCCAGGCCCCTCAGGCCTCTCTGACCCCCAAACGCCATCATTTGATGAGACCTGTGGGTGAGACGGCAGGCGTGCTGGACGGCAG